CCGTTTTTTTTTGGGGGGTGCCCGAAACCCTAAACCCTAAACCCTAAACCCTAAATCCTAAACCCTAAACCCTAAACCCTAAATCCTAAATCCTAAAATCTAGGGTAAGGGCTTGGAGGCTGAGGTGCTAGAAAGGCTTTTTGGGATGTCGGGCTATTTTTGGAGGAAGGTTGCGGAGTCGTCTGGCTCCTGAATCCTAAGCCCGATAACGGGTTTAGGGTTTAGGGTTTCGGGTTTAGGGTTTAGGGTTTAGGCTTGACCCGGCTTGGTATCTTGAGCCTCAACAGCTCAGCAGGAAGACCTGTGCGAAGTAGACGGGCAGCGGGCTGGTGTTTGCACCGCCCACCGTGGGCACCGTGGGCTCCGCATGCTCCGCAGGGTGGATCTTCAATGGGCGATTGCTCATCCTGCCTGGGACGCGCTGTTGCCACAAAGCTTTCGCCAACTCGGCGACTTCGTGAGGACTCGTCGCCAGAACAAAAGCATACCCCTTGCACTTGGATGCGTTGGTCTTTGGCATCTGGAGGACAAAGTTGCTTGGCGTTTTGGTTCTCAGATACGCATACATCTCGGGCTCCGTGCAGCGAGCGGGGACGTTGCGGATCATCATCTTCGTGCAGGTGTACCACTCCGGACTGCTCGGGTGCAAGCCAAACTCCTCTGTCCCTCAGCGCAGGGGCCAGGGATTAGTAAGTTTACGAACCACGGCCTTCAAAGAGACTGCAAGAAAAAAACGACCTGTTCAAGGTTGCAATGTCCCCATTCCCTATAGATATCTGCCACCTTTCACTTCCAAGTTTTTTCACTTCCAAGCCTTTCCGGCTCTTGCTTTGGGCACAATGTCTGAATGAGCCCCACTCCAATGCGCGAACCGATAAGCCAGACAAAGGATATTGTTGTCACACTATCTGCTTCTGCTTATTTCACCACCACGAATGATGATGATGATGATGATGATGATGATGATGATGGTGATGGTGATGGTGATGGTGATGATGATGACCAGCAGGGCCTGGCATTGTTGTAGCGGAGGGCTTGAAGGGAGCATTGCATCCTTCTTGCTTGCTTTCTCTTGGCTTTTGGGCAGACACTGCGACACACAAACATGCCAAGAAGGTACGCAGACACTTTCGAATAGCACAAGCCCATGCCCATTCGCGCTTGCGGCAGCATATGCCGAAAAAGTATGCTGCTGCTGTGTTCTATGATTTGGCCGAGGTACATGACGTTTAGGGCTTAGGCTACAAGTTCTACAAGTTCAACGGGCTGACGGTACAAGAAAGCTAGCATCCAGTTTTCGGGAGGGTTTGCCCAGTCTAGTGATTCGGGCCGCATCCCACAAAACAGAATGTATCCTTGCGCCACACCGCCGCATGTGAGAAACGACTCCCACCTCCCTTCCCTCCCCCATTCTTGAACCAGGAATAAGGGAGAGGCTTAGTATTCGTAATGGTGTGCAGCGACGTTCGGTTTCAAGCCCGCAGGAAACACCCTGCGCCACGTCCTTCGAAGGAGGGGGGCAGCTGCAGGGTTTAGGGTTTAGGCTATATAGGGTTCAGGGTTCAGGGTTCAGGGTTCAGGGTTCAGGGTTTAGGGTTTAGGGGTCTAGGGTTTAGGTTATATAGGGTTTCGGTGTAGGATTTAGCCAAGCTGCAGCCACTGGATGCTTCAAGGCGATGCATGCCTGCCTGCAAACGCGCGCCGTCGCTACGACTTCTGGAAGAAATACCGAGGCCGGCTAGCAGAGGCCAGTGAGGGAGGAGAGATGAGGATTAACTACATTGTGAGTAATTAAGGGTTGATAGGGTTTAGGAGTGGGTATGCACAACACTGACTCTAATCCTCTAAACCCATAGCCCCATCCCCCCCCCCCCCCCCCCCCCAAATCCGGTAGACGAGGTGAAGTGAGTACCGCCCTCCCCACCCCCGAGACGGCACAACGGAATCTCCGGGAACCCCGACATCCTATAAACCCGGGCGCATCCTTCCTGTACTTCGGGTTCTTCGGGTTTGTGCTTAGGTTTGGGCCCCATCTACTAGCTACTGAGCTACTGAATGGCGGCTTCAGTGAACCAAAAGAGGGGCCCTTCTAGCTTCTCGCATGCAAGGCTTGTGAAACAGGCTGCCCTGTCAAGCCCCTAACCCGTTTGGGGGGGGGGGGGGGGGGGGGGGGGGGGGGAAGGTGTCAGGCCGACAGGCTAAATGATTAAGGACTACTCCCTAAAGCTCCCGAAGCTTTGATAAGGTTCCCTAGGTATCGACCCCCTATGAACCCCCCCTCCCTTAAGACCCCAAAAAATGCAAAAAGGTCTTAAGCCGCTACAGCTCATCGTAAGACAAGGGGCAGAAGCGCACAGGAAGGAACCCACCCAATCTTGTTCGCTGGCTCGAGCCCCCGAAGTTTTCACAAATCGGCTGAGGGCATGCAGTAGAGTTCAGGCAGGGTTTTGGACTCCAGAAGCAAAAGGGTTTCTAAAGTTTACAGAGAGAGAGAGAGAGAAACCCTGAACCCTAAACCCGAAACCCTAAACCCTAAACCCTAAGAGAGTGAAAGAGAGGTCGGTGTGCAGTCCAAAGTGGCCCTGCGCCCCCACGTTTGCCACTGCACTTCAGGTCGGGAGCTTATCCCGGTAACCCGAGCTTGTGGCTTTAGAGCTTGTAGGGTTTAGGGTTTAGGGTTTAGGGTTTGGGGTTTAGGCTTGCAAGAAGTCCTTTTTGCTCACGCCTGCTCTGCTTCGCAGCAATGGCGAGCGTGGTTTGGGTGTCTCACCCTGCGTGGCCCCCATTCCCACCTGGGGCGCCTAGTAGGGGGGCCAAAGAATTAGAGTATTTGTTTTTGCTTTTTTTTGGGGAGGGGGGGGGGGGGGGGGAATTAATTTCAGAACATTCAAAAAAGGAACCCTAAGGAATACCAATACTATTAGTAATTATGCTGACCCCTGTAATTAAACCCTAAACCCTAAACCCGAAACCCCTACAGTAACTGTCCTGGTAGGAATGAATGAAAGGATGAATACCTGAAGGGCCCACGACCCCTTTATTTAGGGTTTGTGGTTTAGGCCCTTCATCTGTTGTGGGGCCCTTTTATAGGGATTAGAATCTACCCCCAAAAAGGGGTAAAGGTTGCCAACTCTACTACTAAGCAGAAAGGGACCCGGCATTTCTGTTTGCTGCATTGGTTCATGGACTTCTGTCAGGGAAGGCAATGGCTAGGTAAACTTCGCCAGGTGGCAAAAGGATACGCTGAAATCCCCAAACCCTAAACCCTAAACCCTAAACCCTAAACCCTAAACCCTAAACCCTAAACCCTAAACCCTAAACCCTAAACCCTAAACCCTAAACCCTCCTTAAAGCTCACAGGGCCCATACTTTTCACGTCCGGTCTTTCAATCAACTCACTGCTCTCCTGGCAGTCACAGGTGACTCCTGAGAGCCGAATGGACCCCGCAGACGCGGACCATTTTCTATCAGACGCTCACAAGACCTTAATAAGGGACGTTTGGGGTTTAGGGTTTATAGGGTTTAGGGTGTAGGGTGTAGGGCATAGGGTTTAGGGGACGCTGGCAAAGCCTTTCTAGGCATCTAACGGTATCTAACTTGGGATGTTCCCCCTCATACTAGCAGTGCTCAATAGGGACTGTAATAGGGGGGGTACTATAATCCCTACTAAGGACTGTTAGTATAAGGGGGGAACATCCCAATACCTTTGTAAGGAATGATCTACTGGTATCTAGCCCTTCACCCTTGAATATCTTGCTGAGACCCTACAAACCCCAAACACCAGAACTGGATATCCTGATGAGACTCTTGGGATGCTCGGGCAACTCTGAAAATGCCACCGCGCCGGCAGGGTTGTATGGATGAATTGCTTTCCGCACACCAGAAATACCTTTGGAAAACCCGGTGGTGCGGCTGTCAACAAGATTGCTGCCGCAAGCTATCTGCCGAACTCGCACGAGGCGCCATCTAGCCTGGAATTCATACCTAGGATGGCCCTAGAAAGCCCTCTGAAACATCCTAAACCTAAACCCTAAACCCTAGGCATTCATGAATATAATCATCTTAAACCTCTTTGCTGGCAGCAACTCTGCAACTAAACAACCGACAGCCTAGGCCCCAGCAAGACCCGACATCCCTTGTGGCATCACGAAGAGCCCGTTCGCTCCCTCAACCTGCTCTGAAAAAAACCCTAAACCCTAAACCCTAAACCCTAAACCCTAAACCCTAAACCCTAAACTTAAGATGCCCTGGTTACAGCAACTGGACGCCACAGAGCAACCCAACTCTCGGCCGTTGCTACGATATAGGGGCCTTAAGAACTAGAATAGGGTGCTGGAGGGTTACTATAGTGGAAATGTATCGGGACCATGGGGGAAATAGTATCAGAGCTACTCCTAAATCTGCCCTAAACCCTAAACCCTTTTGCACAGGCTTGTCAAACCCTAAACCCTAAACCCTAAACTCTGAACCCTGAATCTGTCCAACAGTTCAGGATGGAGGCCGCGGACTTTTGGAGGCGGTCCGTCCTTCGAGCTTCGAGGAGGGTTTAGGGTTTAAAGTTTAGGATTTAGGGTTTAGGTTTTGGGGTTTAGGGTTTAGGGGGTTTAGGGTTTAGGGTTTAGGGGGTTTAGAGTTTGGGGTTTAGGGTACGGTGCAATGAGGGCTAGAGAGCTTACTCGGCGCCGTCTCTGAAATCTGTTGAACCCTCAACCCTGAACCCTACATCCTAGACCCTGTGCCTTGAACACACCCCCCCCCCCCCCCCCCCAAAAAAAATGCAGAATCACAACAATCCTTCTTGCCGGAACCCTGGAAGCCACCTCAAAATCTTTTGAATGCTGTGCTCCGGCCCCTAAACCCTGAAATCCAGACCCAAAATCAACCCTAAGCCATTCATCCGCCCTACTCTTTTGCAACCATGCTCATGTAGACCCCACAGCACTAAAAACCCTTCTGCCTCCGGGCTGTTGCAGCTCTAAATCCTAAACCCTAAACCCTAAACCCTAAACCCTAAACCCGAAACCCGGATTTCCGCTGGCCTCCAGTGCTGTGTCTGCTGTTGGGTCGGTCGGTCAGTGGAGGCACAGCCCGGGGCCGCATCCGAGATTGGCTCAGAGGGTCCTCCTGCCGCTCCGACGGAGGTTTAGGGTTTAGGGTTTAGGGTTTAGGGTTTAGGGTTTAGGGTTTAGGGTTTAGGGTTTAGGGTTTAGGGTTTAGGGTTTAGGGTTTAGGGTTTAGGGTTTAGGGTTTTAGGGTTTAGCGTCAGAGAGAGAGAGAGAGAGGAAAAAAAAAAGGAAGAGAGGGATGGACAAGTTCATAGCTGGACACGCCCAGCCCATAGCTTCCAGGGACGTAGTAGTTGGATTACTAGAACACTTAAGGACTCAACCATTACTAGTAGCCTAAACCCTAAACCCTAAACCCTAAACCCTAAACCCTAAAACTGGACGTATAGAGTAACAAGCCCCAGATCCCAGAGCGCCCTAAACCCTCTTTGACTAAACCCTAAACCCTAAACCCTAAACCCTAAACCCTAAACCCTAAACCCCAAACCCTAAACCCTAAACCCTATTCTTTTTCCGAGGACAAGTTGCACACACGTTTTATCAGGACAGCTCCTGCTCGAAGGCTTGCTCCAATGTGAGCTCCGCCTGTAAAAAACAGGGGTTTAGGGTTTAGGGTTTAGGGCTTAGGGGTTGTTGAGAGCAAGGCCGAGCCTGAGTCGCCAAACCATAACAAAGAACAGCCTATATACGCCCTTTCAATTTCAACCGCCCCACGAACGCTCGTTCCCTTGTTTTTGAACCCTCGTTCCCTAAACCCGCAACCGTAAACCCTAAACCCTAAACCCTAAATCCTAAACCCTAAGACCCTGGCCTTCTCTGGGACCGGGCTACCCCTGAGCCGCGAGGCCGAGGCGGGCCGCGGGGAACGATGCACCAAGCGCAGCGGGGCGCTCACCTTTAAGGGTTTTGGGGGTTCGGGTTTAGGGCTTAGGGCTTAGGGCTTAGGGCTTAGGGCTTAGGGCTTAGGGCTTAGGGCTTAGGGCTTAGGGCTGCTTTGGGCTGCTTTGGGCTGCTTTGGGCTTAGGGTTTAAGGTTTATACTATCGGATTTGGGGCTTAGGGTTTACGGGGTTTCCGATGATAGGCGTCCCTGATTGGGGTCCGTATTATAAGGGAATCCTACGATCAGGGGGTCAGCTTTGGTTCCCAAACAAACCTACACCTTAAACCCTACAAAATATAAACCCTAACTCAACCCTAAACCCTACCTATACTAGGTAACTCGGTCCCAGGGGAAAGAAAGGGTACCCCCTTTCCCCTGAAAGGGGGGTTTACCTGAAACTGCAGAATGAAGGACCCAAAGCGGCCATGGTTTCACCCTTCGCGAGCACGGGACGTCCAAAAGCCACGCCATCTCGCAATTTCGCGAGCCCGGAAGCCCAGAAGGCGACGACAGTTTTTCGGGGGCTGCAAGGCGGGGCCACTCCCGCGCCTAGGCGAGAACGCGATTTTCGTCCGGAATTTCAACAGGCGAGCAGGCGTCGAGAAAAATCACACAGCTTATATGAAGGATTTAATAGACCCGAAATTCCGAAGCAGCAGCCCCATCTACTGTTTTGGGGCTGCGATGCATCTTGGAGCCTCAAGTTAGGGTATAGGGTTTAGGGTTTAGGGTTTAGGCTTTAGGGTTTAGGGTTTGGAGACCAGTGTTTTCACCAATGTATCACTACCCGCAGTGCCAAGCCATAGCGTTGCGCTCGCCAGAACGCAAAACGACTGAAGACCATGTAGAAAGCCACATAAACCCTAAACCCTACACCCTGCTGTAAACGAACAGGGCCCCCGACCCTGAATAGCTAACGCCCTCCCCCCCGCCCCCCCCCCCCCATGCCACGCATTCCTTGTGGCAACTGGGAAACATTGCTGGCTGTGTGCATGACTCTGCTTTCTAAAGCAGAAAACCCATTTACATCCAAGCCTCGTAGATGGTTCCAGGGAAAGCAAAGCCTTCCAAACCCTAAACCCTAAACCCTAAACCCTAAGCCCTAAATCCCCAAAGCCTAGAACTACAAGCAGTCATACTAATTCATCATCATGGCCGATGTGACATGGCTTGGCAGCTCAGTAACCATATAATGATAAAGGCACCCTTTTTGGAGTTAGGGGAACCTTGAACCCCATAAACCCTAAACCCTAAGCCCTAAACCCTAAGCCCTAAGCCCTAAGCCCTAAACCCTAAACCCTAAACCCTAAACCCTGAACCCTAAACCCTAACCCTAAACCCCAAACCCTAAACCCTAAACCCTAAACCCTAAACCCTGAAACACAACAAAAGAACGGAACTGGGCTTCCAAGAATAGCTCCACCCAAGGCGCCGGGGCCAGATCGTCGACCTCGGGCTCCTTTCGGGTTTAGGGTTTAGGGTTTAGGGTTTAGGGCTTAGGGTTTAGGGTGTAGGGTTTAGGGTTTAGGGTTTAGGGTTTAGGGCTTAGGGTTTAGGGTTTAGGGTTTAGGGTTTAGGGTTTAGGGTTTAGGGTTTAGGGTTTGGGGTTTAGGGTTTAGGGTTTAGGGTTTGGGGTTTGGGGTTTGGGGTTTAGGGTTTAGGGTTTACGGTTTAGGGTTTAGGATTTAGGGTTTAGGGTCTTCATCATGCTTGGAGGTTCGTGCCCAGACTCCGGGGAGGATCCAAAAAGTAGAACCAGCATCCGTGTCGCAGGATGTGCCTTGCTATCATGTTCCAGCCTCCGGGTGAGAGAAAGAAATTGTCCGAGACCTTTTGGATGGTCCTTTCCCTAAGAGGGTTCTATATCCAAGCCACCTGTAAGGGCGCCATAAACCCCAAACCCTTTTCAACCCAGACTCAGGGTCTTAGGTGCCAGTGACCCTAAACCCTCACTATGCCTTCAAACCCTAACCCCCACCTGCGACCGGAACGACACCGGGGGGGGGGGGGGGTTTCCGAAAATAGGAACCCTTCCAATTTGGGGGTCCCCTAAAACCCTAAACCCTAAACCCCAAACCCTAAACCCTATTTGGAGAAATACCCTGTCCTCGGGACTTGGGGACCGTGGCGACTGCAAGGGGCTGGCCGCGACGGATTTGATGACCTTGGCAAGGCGTTGGGGTGGAGTTTGGGGTTAAGGGTTAAGGGCTTAGGGCTTAGGGCTTAGGGTTTAGGGTTTAGGCAGGGTTTAGGGTTTAGGGTTTAGGGTTTAGGGTTTAGGGTTTAGGGTTTAGGGTTTAGGGTTTAGGGTTTAGGGTTTAGGGTTTAGGGTTTAGGGGCTTAGGGATTATAAGTTATAAGCTTAGGGACAAGAATCCCTAAGCTCTCTTAGAGTTTAGGGTCGAGGGCTTAGAGTTCGGGGGGCGTCAGGTTCGGGGTGTCGGGTTTCGCGGGATGTGATTATGAGGGCTCGATCAGAGGAAGCCTAAGCCCTAAACCCTCCCTAAACCCTAAACCCTAAACCCTAAACCCTAAACCCTACACCCTACACCCTAAACCCAAAACCCTAAACCCTAAACCCTAAACCCTAAACCCTGAACCCTGAACCCTGAACCCTAAACTAAACACTTTTTTGCCTCAACCCTACAGTATGAACCTCTGAGCCCCTCTTCGACCGTTGCAACCCCCAAACTCTCTCAGCCCGCAACCCCCCCCTTGAGCGAGCCTACTCCGCCCCAGACGAGCTGCCCAATTCAAACTAGAGTTTAGGGTTTAGGGTTTAGGGTTTAGGGGAATTGGGATGTTCCAGGCTTGGGGTTCGGGTGTTTTGGGGTTTGGGGTTAAGGTTGGGAGGTTCCCCCCCTTATACTAACAGGGACTAACCCCCACTATTATAAATCCCTATTAAGGACTGCCAGAAAAAGGTGGAACATCCCAAAACCCGAAGCTCAAAGCAAAACTAACCCCCTGCAAGCGCTCTTTCTGAGCCAGCCAAGGTGCTCCGGCTAGCCCCAAATCCCTGTAAACCCCTCAACCCCTCAACCCCTAAACCCCAAACCCCCAAACCCGAAACCCTAGCCCTAAACCCTAAACCCTAAACCCTAAACCCTAAACCCTAAACCCTAAACCCTAAACCCTAAACCCCTCAAAACCCAGGGTGCCCCCCAAGGTGCCAGGGCAGAGCCCAGGGGGGCCGGAGCCGGTGGCAGGTACCTCGGGTTTAGGGTTTAGGGCTAGGGTTTAGGGCTAGGGTTTAGGGTTTCGGGTCTAGGGTTTAGGGTTTTCCGGTTTGGGGTTTAAGGGTTTAGGTAGGGTTTGGGGTTTTGGGGTTTAGGGTCTTTTGGCCCTTTTCTCGATTTGTGGGATAGGGTTCCGGTTTCGGTAGTCACCTCGACTTCCCAGCGATGGGGTTCCAGGGTTTTTTGGAGCTAGGCCTCTGGCCTTTGTTGAGTTGGGTTAGTTTGCTTTTCAGAAGTCTCCAAAATGGGGGTATACCACTAGCCCCTAAACCCTCAAACCCCAAACCCCACAGCCTAAAACACTGAAGCCCATGCTGTTTATGCCTTGTCTGACTGAACCGCTGCAACCGAGAGGCTGGCCACCACCAAGCGTAGACGCCCCCACAATATACACACCGAGATTGTCAAGTTGCTTCACTACAAATACACCAAGCCCTAATCCCAAAACTTGCTAAGCCCTGAACCCTAAACACATGACCTGCACCACGCCTTAGGGGGTTATCGGACCCAAGGTTGATGTCATGTGGAGCCCAAACTCACAAGCGCCCGGTACTTGCAACACTCCGAAACTCCCGGAGCAGGTTGCCGCGAGTGCCTCAATAGGCAACCAAGGTACAGGTTCTGCGAGCGAATGGACTGCGACCGCACTGCCTCTCCCATAGAGGTGTGAACTGCCTCGGGGAGGCACAATAGCTGTACTTATAACGCTCTTATAAGCCCCCCAAGTGCCCTGATATGGTTAAAAATACAGTCATACGTACAGTTTTCATTGGTCACTATGTATTACAAAGGCCGGTGGCCTCTTTATCTGTTACCCTTATACCTTAATATAACTCCTAGATACCCTAATAAGAACCCCCGACAAAACAGAAACCCGACTTAAAGAGACCACCAAGCAATATAAACTATGTACCATGAACCTCCAAGTTGACGAGCTTCGAGGCTGCCGGTGAAATGCAAGCCAGCTGGTTTTGCAAGCGGTGAGAAACGTTGCCGGTTTAGGGTTTAGGGTCTTTTAGTTCTCACTGCAGACTTGAAGATGAGCACTTCCAACAGATCACCAGTCATGCGAGGTGGCTCGCAAGCTCTAAGAGCCTGACCTCAAACGCCCAAGAGCCAAAAAATCAAGTGCGTGTTTTTTGAGCAGGGGCTGCAGTGCAGTGTAACCCTGAAACCGTACCTGGGATCCTATTTAGTTACCTACAGCTTCGTAGTCACAACCCCCTGGATTAGTAGCTGTAACTGTAACCCACCAGACTGTAGGTCAAGAGGAAGTCCCAGATAAAACCCTAAACCCCAAACCCCAAACCCAAAACCCAAAACCCAAAACCCTAAACCCTAGACCCTAGACCCTAAACCCTAAACCCTAAACCCCTAAACACATACCCTGAATATAGGAGACAATCCCAAAGCAAGAGCTCCGCACCTCGCTGGCGCTCGCCCGACGCCGGGAGTGCTGGCGGGAGCCCTCCGGTCTCACCTCGGCGTTTGTTTCTATTTTGCCCAAAGGGTTTAGGGTTTAGGGTTTAGGGTTTAGGGTTTAGGGTTTAGGGTTTAGGGTTTAGGGTTTAGGGTTTAGGGTTTAGGGTTTAGGGTTTAGAGGTTCATGGTACTTCTTAACCAATTATAACTGTACTTGTAACTGTACTTATAACCATATTAGGGCACTTAAGGGGCATAAAAGTGGGTAATAAGTACAGTTATCATTGGTTAATAAGCACCATGAACCTCCAAGTACCACAAGGAATCTAACCCTAAACCCTAAACCCTAAACCCTGAACCCTAAACCCTAAACCCTAAACCCTAAACCCTATATAAACCCTAAACCACAAGGAATCTGCCGAGCCGAGCTGCCGCAGAAGGCAGGGAGCAGCGCCGCGCCAGGATCTCTGGTGGGGGCTCGCCCTGGAGAAGCTCAACTCCAGAGGAGTTGGAGGACCATCACTTCAGGTTTAGGGTTTAGGGTTTAGGGTTTAGGGTTTAGGGTTTAGGGTTTAGGGTTTAGGGTTTAGGGTTTAGGGTTTAGGGTTCAGGGTTTAGGGTTTAGGGTTTAGGGTTTAATTAGGGTTTAGGGTTTAGGGTTTAGGGTTTAGAGTTTAGGGTTTAGAGTTTAGGGTTTAGGGTTCAGGGCCATAGGGTTTAGGAAATCTTTACTCAGTGACTGGTGGCGACTTGCAATACTGATACTGGTAGGGCCTATGGCCAAACCCCAACACCTGGTGCTCGAAGACCGTGGTGGGATCAACCCTCTTACCCTGAAACCTGCAGATGATCCTCTTAAACCCAACAAGGGTAAATATAAAATGTCCCAAGGGCCTACCGAGTTGGGATTGAGGAGCTGGAAGGCACTCCTAGACGCGTTTTGACAACTGGCAAGCACTACGTGCCGGAGCCCTGAACCTTGGTGCTCTTGTCGAAGTCCCTTTCTCCACCCACCCCAAACGTCGTGTCGAAGCAGCCATAGACTGATGCATCAACTTTCCAAGATGCTTGGCAACTTTAGCAGGTACTTCTGCTACAACAAGACGCTAAGCGCCGGGCGATTGCCTGGTGTGACTGTGTCTGAGACGGCTTCTGTTGTTTTGTTGGAGGAAGGCCGCTGTCGACAACTTGACAATGTGTCAGTCACGCGACACACAGAAGCTACAGGAGCTCGAGTCGCCTGAAACTGAAGCAACTCAATCAAACACCCACTTGTAACTTGTAACCGTAACCACTATTCTGGCCAAGCCCCCACCCCCATGCCCCTCCCCCC